TGCACACTAACTGACAGATTTTGAAGGAAAAGAAAAAAATACTGCAGTCTTCCATTTCTTAAAGCAGAGAGCTCTAAGCTGGTGATAAATAAAACTGACCTAAGATAGAAGACTCTGAGGTTCAAAGAGGAGGAGGACCGGGAGGAAGAGTGGGGAGTGTTTCTGGAAGCATCTACCTGTGTTATGGTAGGCTCAATGATGATGGGAAAGAAAAGGAGTTGCTTTAAGGAAGAAAACTCTTGTTGTGATCCAGTTCACCCCTTCTGAAGCTAAGGAGAGCTGCTGAGAGCCATGCACCTACATAGGGAGTCCCTGGAATGGAAATATCCATTCTCATCAGATTCAGCCGAGTACCTAACACACAGTTCAGCATACTGGTATAATTCCAATGCAGGTTCCCAAAATCAGCTGGAGACACTCATCTCCAGGAGCCTGTCCCTATGGGACAGATGCTCCCTGCAGGACAGGTGCTCCCTGCAGGACAGATGCTCCCTGCAGGACAGGTGCTCCCTGCAGGACAGATGCTCCCTGCAGGACAGGTGCTCCCTGCAGGACAGGTGCTCCCTGCAGGACAGGTGCTCCCTGCAGGACAGATGCTCCCTGCAGGACAGATGCTCCCTGCAGGACAGGTGCTCCCTGCAGGACAGGTGCCTATTCCACTGCTCCTCACATCAGAACGAGGGGCCGATCCCTCCAGGTAGGACATAGGAGCTGAAGTTGAAGGTGAAAGCAAGAAAAGTCAGGTTTCCTTACACAAACCCACTGCAAAGCAGTGCAAAACCACAGGTTCAAAAGGAAAACTGAGAAAAAGAAAAGAGAGAAACAGATGGGGGAGGGGAGGGAGAGAAGGAGGGAGGGATGAAAGAGGAGGAGAAGGAGAGGGAGGGGAGGAGGAAGGGCGATGGAGAGAGTGTGTACAGGGGAGGAGAGGCTCATCTGTGGCAGGTGACAAATACTTCTGAAGCGCTGCTTTCATTAATAAGCAGAGAAGCTCAAAGAACACGAAAACTCACTTCAGCACGTGGCAGAAAGATATCCTCAAAGGCATTGTTCTCTTATTCCTCTGAAAGTGAAAACCTAAATGGATCTGACTGAGCTTCCTGTGGATATATCATTTTCCTCACTGGAAACAGACTCTGTTTTCTGAAGACCATTACAACAACCGTGGGATTGGAAAGAAACACAGAGATAATCAAATCCAACATGCCTCTTTTAGAAGATAAAGATACTTATGCTGGGGGCATCAGTCGCTTGTTTCTAGCCATTGAGCAAAAGAGCTTTTATCCAAACCTCCCAATAATCAAGTCAGAGCCCTTTCCATTACACAATGCAACTTTGAAATCACAGGATTGGGGTAGGAAGTAAACTCTTGCCTACAAAGAGCCCAGAGAGGGGAAACACCACTCAGAAAGTCTACGAACAGTTCAACAGCTGTTTGTCATTTTAACACAAGGTCACAAACCCAACTAATCAAGTCTTCACATTCTTACAAGTCCTGGAGGGAAGTTAAAATGTTGTGTGGACTTGCTACAAGTTAAGTCTTTCTTCATCGGCTTCTAAACATAACAGGACCTTAACCACGCTTCCTAAGTCCCCAGCGCCAGTGAAGTCGCAGCTTTATAAATATCACGGTGAAGAAGAAATGCTGTCTTGTCACATTCAAGCCAAATAACAGCTGGACTTTAAAAATAAAATTTTGAAGACATTTGCCTTTTATATTTCTAATTTCTGTTTTCCTTGCTTATGGTTTGTCATTTGATTTTGATGAGTGGTTAATACACGTGCACAGCTGCCTCTTTGGGTGACCTTTTCTCTGCCGCCTCCAGGCCCAGGGCTGTGAAACAGGCCTCCACGCTGCTCACTGAGAAATGCCATCCTCTGTACGGCTGGCAGACAGTCCTAAGAGGATGGCTGGGACAGGACCTGTCTTCTGGCTGACTTCCTTTTGTACTTAAGAAGCCCCACAGGACGAGACGTGCAAGGAGGGTACAACCCTTTGAGGCTGGAGGGAGCTGGGAGATGATTGAACATGGATGGAAGGAGGTGATCTCCCTAGCTGGAGGCATAGCTCACCTTTCAGCTTGGCCTTCCTAAAAAGCTTGCTTTCTGGGTACTTGGTAGAGCATCACAAAATCTTCCTCTTAGAGTTTTGTTCTCAATGATGAAAAGTTACCGCTTGGCACAGATTTCCCTTTGACTCTTGCATTCCTTCACTAGATCATAATCTCTAGCTGCTGAAGGGCATCACTATTTTAATTTCACATGGTTTACCCAGGGTCTAGTGCAAGGGACTGGCGCGCTGTAGGCACTCAAGAAATGTTGGCTGAGTGTTTGGTTTGTTGGACCGCACGGGCTTAGTGGCTGAGTAAATACACTTGGCTGTCGTTACTCTGACGCTCCAGCCCCTTTCCAGTCTTCATGCCGAGGGGAACATGAACAAGCAGAGTAGATACTGTTCTGTGTACCTGCTGACTATCCTGACTTTAATAGGAACTGTAACTCCAACAGGATTTGCAATCAATTCAGGCTTGAACAGACGCCAGGAGCCAGCCTGGAGTCAGCAGAAGGCTGCTCCCCACAAAGGCCTGCGCGGCTATCCATATTAGTGCAGGTAACTCGACTCCATTCATGAACTCAGAGTCCCCCAGAGGCACATGAGGTCTCAATGGCAACTCTGGGCAGGCTTCTGAAGGGAGGTTTTCACACGCTCTGTAAGCTCCTAGGCCACTACAGCCTGTCTACTGTTACACTCATCAGCATGCTGCTCCGTGTGATGGGGTAACATGAGAGCTGATGTGTGGCATGATCAGCTATATTTAGGGGAGAGGAAATGGGCCTTACTGAGGAAGGTCACAAGAAGTCTGTTCAGAAAAATGAAGGCACTACAATTATCTGACTATACAGAGGTTTAATACACAAGTGAGAACTTGAATCCTCCATCCATTTTAGCTCATCATTACTGGCATTGTCGCCTACACCACATTATTTATTTTTTTAACCTCAATCTTTTAACCTGGAAAATGGGAAAAATACCAGCCAGGTGTTATGGAATATAGATAGCATTTGGGAGACTGATGTAGAAACATCATGTGTTTGAGGCCAGCCTGGGCTACATAATAAGACCCTATATAATGATGATGATGATGATGATGATGATGATGATGATGACTTATTCAAAGAGTATGTAAAGATTGTATGAGAAAGGCTATAAAATAACAGATCCTCTAGCATACGAGCACTGGATAGATATTTATTTAAAAATGTCATTGGGAAAATGTACTTGAAGCTATACAGTGTGGGTACTGAGAAAAATTTCTATAATCCTTCTGCAGATTTTTCTCTGTTGTTAAGGTTTTTATCTTTTTAGAATGGCCAGTAGTTCCATTCACACAATCTCATCAACTTGATTAGCAGTGCTACTGAGAGGCAGCTCACTATATTTACAGTTAATACATAGTTAAGGAATCAAATGAAAGTGCTGGTAGAGCCAGGGTCAGGGGACAGGGCTTTGTAACTCCTGGTTCATAGCCAAATGAACGGACTGAATTCCCCCAAAGTGGTGGAGACTGCTTGGCTCACTACAGACAGCCAGAGACTTAGGCACTCCACAGTACAACTTCACAAGGAGACTGACACGGGCCTGATCTGAAATACTGCTTTGCAGACCACTAGGCCAGCTGCTATGTCTGTGTTGCAGTCAAACTATTAACCATGTCAATCATTTGGATTCCGTGGCTGAGTAGACTGAAGAATCTTAACCCTTGCCAGTGGAAGCCTGCTGGTCTATGTACCTATGCCAGCGTCGGTGTGCCCCTGATACACACCCGTTATCTCTCACTTTCTACCACCTTCCTTTTCCTCTTTTTTCCTTCTACTTGTCTATCACACAAGCACACACAATTACACACACCATTCAGCATTGATGTTGACTCTCTGCACCTTTGCAGCACTATCCTTAAGACTTAGTATCTCCATCTGACATGGAAGCAGTGTCTTCCGGAGATCCGAGGCCTTGCTGTTGTCTGACACCAGCCAGCTCTCAGTATTCATACCAGCAATTTCCAAACTGTCTGGGGAGACTCTGTTCAGATGTTGCTGAGAACTCTCTTTGTGTGTGTTTAAGGGATCAGGGTCCTGTAAGAAACTCTGCCAGTAAAAAGGTAACTAGTAAGATTTTTCCCTTAAGCTAAAGTAGGACTTTCAGTAGGATCTGAGATTGGTAAAGGATTCTGTTACTCTTAAGAGAACAAATTAATCTTCCCTGACTGGTGGGATGGATTCTGCCAAAGAAACAGCTAACGGGAAAGCCAGTCTCCACTCTGTGATGACACAGTAAATAACCAGGCCACATTACTAGCAAAGTGCTGACCTAACCTATAAATTGTACCCGGCCTCTGGGGAACAATTTCTGCTGACGGCTGCTTGGTACATTTAAGACAAACAAACAAAAAGGAAGCAATGAAGACGGGCATTGACAGAGCTGCAGGTAGACATCCTGAGAGTGAGGCTGCCCTTTCCAACAAATACTGAACAGGCTTCCGCCATGGTTAGTGCACAGTCCCCAAGCCAGGCCTTTCCTAAGCCACCAGTAGGTTTCTGCTGAATCTGTTTGTTAGTCCCAAAGGGTTTGACTGCACCTAGGAATTACTTGATCTAGGTTTTGTTTTTTTTTTTTTAAAAGAAGTCCTCTTTGCATGTTTCTTCTTTTTCTCGGTAAAGCTCTAGCGAGGTGGGAGACACTTAAGGATCTGTTAAGGCGAATGTAGTTGGATTTCTCACTACAACTTTGAAGTAACATTGTGAGGTACTTGGATTGCTGTGTGTTCACTAGTAGAGAGTCCAGCAGCGTCTCAAAGTCCTCAGCCTTAATACATACGGAGGATCAACGTTTCTGTTCTCTTCCGGAGAATCCAGATAGTGACTCTCAAGAACGGTCACGAGGATTCCATGCCTAACTCAGACCCACCTTGAGAAACCCAAGCCAGGAAAAGGCCACTCACCCTCTGCGTCTTCCGGCCGAGTGAGATCGATGACGCCTGGGCCCAGCTTCCCATCTTCACCTGACTTCCCTGTTAACTGGGGCCCCAAGTTCTCAAAGCGTGTTCTTTCCTAGGAGAAAGAATAGTCAGAGGCTTACTCTAGTTTCGCAGCAGCCATTTGCCTCCTCCCCGTTTCCCTTTTGTGTAGTCGGCAAAGCACGGCCTTATGAACACCATGTCTGACCACTTGGGCTCTGGAGACCACTGCAGGCTGAAATGTCACTGACAAAACCAGCAATGTCTAGAAGGCCAGACCTAGAAGGAAGCAGAGTCCGTGGCAGGGAACCTGCCAGCACTGCTCTGCCTGTCCAGCCCTAATGTGTTGGATTCGCTTCTGGAATCTACAAGGAATGCAATAGGGAGAGGGAGCTGGTGCAAAACTTAAGAATGTCCTTACTAAATGGAAGAGCAATCTTTCCATGTAGAGATCACGATTTTTGTCAGTATTCCTGAAAAAAGGATACATTAGAATGTTATGTGCCAGTATTCCAGAGGCAAACGTGTCAACCTTGTTTGAGTGGACATTGGCATTGTTCCTTTTCTTGAAGCAAATCTTTCAACTGTGAGTTCCTAGGAACTGAAGGGTGTGAGTCTTACCTTGTAAAGAAGTCAGAGAGGTTCAATAGCCCTGCTGCTTTAGAAAGGAATCCCAAAGGTGTTTGCTTATTCACCAGTTCTTCAAAGAGCAGAAGTTTGAGACAACCCCTCTCAGATCAGTGGCAGGGGCTCACTGGCCGTGCTAATACGATGGTGTGATCTGCCCAAGGCCAGCACTGGGACCCCATTCTCACCTCCCATCTCTGTGCTTAGGCTCCAGACTCAGGCTTGGCTTTGTGTTATCCTTATGAATGAATGAAGCCTTGTTGTTTGTTACTATGAAGCGATATTAAATGTCATGTCAGCTTGAATGTACAGACATGAAATAGCAGCTTGCAGCTCCGGGAATGGTTTCTGCATGTTACACTAATGCATTATGCAGCAGCAGAGTGCTGATTGCTGCGCAGTCTATTGTTCAGTGACCTAGTTCTGCACAGAGCATGTTCGGCATCTGATGGAAACATGCCGAGCGTTCTGTTCTGTAAGATGTTTAGAAACTTGGAAATATTCGGAAGAAGCAAACATACAATTACTTGATAGAGGATGTGCCTCATTTGTACAGCCTCACTGCGTTTGTGCTTTCTAATACGATTATTTTTGAATATCATTATATTTCTATAATTAATTCCCATCAGTCAAATTGTTGCAGTAAATCTTCCATCTCCCCTTCATCAGAGACGGCGTTGAAATCTTCGTTGGAAGAAAACACAGCGTAAACTGTGCTTTAATCTAGCACTGCTTCTAGGAAAGCTTTGCAACAAAACACAGTTAACTAGCTATCATTTCTTCAACTGGGTAGCACTAACCAACTAGCTAGTTTCAACAATTAACTAGCCATCATTTCTTCAATTGGGTAGCACTAACTGGCTAGTTTCCACAGCGGAGTGTGGGGAAATTTCAGAAATACGACCCGTATAAAAGACAGACTGAAAATCAAAACCAAAGTGAATGTGGTTCCCTAATACCTCCTCATGTGAAAACATGGCTGCTCGGGAACAAATTAACCCAGATGCAGCACAGAACACAACGCTACCGCAGCCATGAGCTGTGTGGGAGCTTCACACGTGGTCAGGGAAGGACAGCTGCTTTCTATCAGCCCCGGTCTATTTTTGAGTAGCACTGTGGGTTATGGCAGTGTGAAGAAAGTCAGAGAAGCACACTGCAAAGCCACATTCAACCTTTGTCTCTGGCCAGGTCTCTCTGTCGTATTTGCATGTGAATGCCTGTTACAGGGCCAGAGGCCTCCCCTCCCACCCAACTTTCAGGGCAGGTGGGGCAGGCAACTTCTCTAAAAGACAATGCTGTGCAACCTATCAGTGTGCATATTCTAAGGCTCGTTCTAGTCATCCATTCTCTTTGATTTTACTGGGAAACATTCTCAATTTAAAAAAAAAAGTTCCTGGGAGAATGTTAGTATTTTTTTTTTAACAGGGAAGGGGAAGCAGGAGGATTACATGCCTTGCTTTGTAAGAACCCCAAGACAACAAAGCTTACACGATGATCATCTCTTTTCTTTTCTAAAAGTGAAGCGCACTCACAATGCAGTAGTATCAGCTTGTTTTTAATCATAACAAAAACATCCAGGACGCTCCACAACACATTCACCGTGCCTTTGAAGTCAGACAATTTTTCTGACTTCATTGAAAAAAAAAGAGTCTTGTGCAAAGACGCTTTCCCTGTAAAATATCAATATTTGACAGCATAGAAGACCAGGAAGAGCATCCTATGAAATTCTGGTTAAATAGGCAGGAAATGAATCAATGATAAAAAGTGTTGGGGGCAGTGGGTTGCATTTTCAATTTGATAATATTAAGCACTGTGTTTGAGATTAAAGCAGGGCCCTGCAAAGCCAAGCCCTTTCATATAAATTTCCTCCCAGTCTCCCAGAAGATTTCCTTCTTTTCTTCAAAGAATAGCGCAGAATATTTATTTGCCAGCCACAGAACCCTAAGACAAGAGGGCCTGGTGCCTACCGGTTAGGTCTGTGCAGCTGAGCTAGGCACAGCTTTACCAGTGTGGTAGACAGGAGCCTTAGTGTAAGAAGCTGAGTTTCTGGCTGTTAAACACCAACAGGTTTGTCACTATGAGAGACACAGATAGTGGAGGGCAGGTCCCAAGCAACCCATCCCCACCTCTTGAACTATCCCTCCCAAGGCACACAGCTCCCAAGTAGGGTGATGCAGAGATAAGAGCAAAATTCCTCAGTGTGAACTTGACCCTGTGTCCCACTCTTGAAATCCCCGTCTTTCACGTTGGTAGTGAAATGCATACTCACTGTGCTGCCCCATGAGCAGGCTCTCGCTTGTGCATTGTCGGTCACAAACATGCAGGCAACATGAAAGTTACCGGAAAAAATGTAAAAGTCAGCTCTACAGCGTTGTAGTGACTGTTGGCTCTCTAAGTGCTTTGAAATTATGATGTATGAGGTAGATGTTGCATATTAAATAAAGATATTTAAATGATAAAGCCCCCGTTGGTGGGAGCTGGTGAATGTTAGATGTTACAAGCCACAAGACCGTAGCATCCATCACATCCATGTGTTATCGAAATCAATGGCGGGGCGGCCTCACCGCTGACAGACAGACTCTGATTATTATCCCTTCTTTCCAGAGCCAGTGAGCAAACCACTCATATCCTCTGGCATTATTTTTAACTTTGCATTAAATTAGCAACTTTTCCCTCCCTACCGTGGCAAGATTGATCAGCTACATCTTGGCACCAGTGGAGAGAGAATGAATTTGGGGGTAAATAAAAGACCAGAGGTTTGTTCTCATTTAAGCGAGGAAATCAGTTGCCTCTTCCTGGCAACAAATGTGAAACTGTGATCTGGGGAAGGAACAGTGATGAAACAGTCAGCACACAATAATGGCTTTTCTTTGCACTTAGATAAAAGCTGAATTTTTGATGTGCACAGTATATTTTAATAAAATTTTATATACTGTGTTTTATACACTTATTGGCTATTCCATAATAATGTGTGTGCTCACAGTAAAATTGCTCTTAAATTTATGTGTGTTATTTATACGTTCCCACGTAACAATGCTTTTTGTTGTAAAAAATATTCTGTTTATTAATGTAACTTTACAACCACTGCATCCAAGATCCGTGGTAAATTAATGACATTTTTATTATTTTATAGTGTCATTAAATTTTTACTGATCACTCCATCAAACAGAGGCAGTAAAGGCCATGATGTGAACTGGGACACTTAGATCAGGCAGCAGGAAGACAGCCGTGGAGTCTGAAGAAAACTGCTGGCAATAAATGATATTTATACTATCTTTAAGCATGTGAGACTACTTGGATAAGTTTGGCAAAACCGTTTCAGTAGTAGAGTGGATGGTGTACTTAAATAATAGTTTGCTTGCCAGTGAGACAAGCCACTCTCAAACCATATGCAAGATGACGGATGGTAGCCGTCTCCAGAAAACTAATACACGAAATGCAAGTTTGTCCCTCACCTTCCCTCTGGGTCACTGGGGTGGCCAGCCCGTATTGTGCTTCAAGTCCTTTCCAGGTGGCCCCCTTTCTGCAGCCGGAAAGGGGAAAGTGGTACATGCTCAGAGGAGCTTTTGTTTGTTACTTCACAAATGGATATATTCCATTCTAGACCTGTCTAGATAATGGTACCATATACTTTACTCTTGTGGTCTAAAAGAGAGGCACTTTACCAATCTTTATTCAAAAGCCCATTTGTGCAGATTGTCTGAGTGTGGTGTCATTCATAGTAGCCACAAAGCAAACAGATGGGCACAGGGTGGTGGGGACTGTTACCCATATTGTAGTTTAAAGAGGTGAAAATTATCTTGGGTTATTTTTACACATAAAATACATTATAATTGGGATTTGCTCAACATCGGCTTTCCTAAATAAACTTAAATGTATGTTATTAACTAATTGCCAAATATTCTATTTATGTATATATGAGGTAGTAAATAGAAATTTCTGTGCCCATATAATTGTGGAATTAGTAGCACCAATCTCTTGCAAGGGGAATATGACATGATTCTTTTTTATGTAAATAAGAATTTTGTTGTTACATAGCCAAATGAGCATTTAAATATTTAGAATGTTTAAAAACCTTTCAGATTTGCAATAAAGGTTCACATCACAGCTCGTCAGTCATGTTATTGTGCCCTCCCAAAGCACAGGTATCACAGAATTCTGAAATGCTGTCTACCCTTGAAGTTTCAGCTATGCCTAGCTATTGGGCACTTCCTAAATGAAGTCTTTGTTTTCATCCCAGTTCTAAGCTTCGATCTTTTCTGGACATCTGATTTCACTTATATTGGACTGGTTCTTCATTCCAGGAACACACTGTCCTACAATAATAGAACCACCACCCTTTACCCAGCATCCCCCCGTCCTGCATTTGCACCAGTGCCTACTGGCTAGTAGTTCATGTCTCACTTCCTTCTTCACCCTTGTCTATCCAGGCACCTGGGATGGCTGACTCTCTTCCACAGAGCTTTT